AATTTAATTTAAACATTAATCTGATCCTATCACAGCACCTCTTGAAGCCCTTTCAATGGCTTCTCATTGCTCTAAAAGTACTGCAAGGCTCAGCAATGTTTGTTCCTATGTCCCCAGCTGCCCCCTTGTTCTCTCTGATCCAGACACCCCAGCCTTCTCTCAGTCCCCTCACTCTCCATGCTCTCACACACCTCAGAACCTTTCCACAGGCCATTCCATTAGCCTTGAATGATTTCCCTCTACCTAGTTGTCTACTCACCTTTCAGATCTTAAGTGTCACATCCTCAATGGCCCCATTCCCCAAATAGAAATTCTCCCTCATACACATGTAAAGCACCATGATCACCTTTGAAGCACCTACCAAACTTGCAATTTCACTTTTGCATGATATTTTAAAATTAATTATTATTATTATTATTTTGAAACAGAGTCTGTCTCTGTTGCCTAGGCTGGAGTGCAATGGCGCAATCTTGGATCACTGGAACTTCTGCCTCTCGGGCTCAAGCAATACTCCTGACTCAGCCTCCTGAGTAGCTGGGACCATAGGCACATGCCACCACGTCAGCTAACTTTTTGTATTTTGGGCAGAGATGGGGTTTCACTACGTTGCTAATGCTGGTCTTCAACTCTTGGAGTCAAGTGATCCACCTGCCTCAGCAGTGAGATTACAGGTGTGAGCCACCACCAGCCTGTGATTTTTAAAATTCCTTCTACTTCCTCAGTAAAACTTCAGAGCACAGGAACCATCCCTCCTTGCTGCTTACAGTTGCCTAGCTCAGTGCTTGGTACATGGTAGGCACCCAATAACTATTTGAATGAATAGATGAATAAATGAATATGTGAAAGCACCTTGTAGAACACCATGCATGCAATAGATGTTAACTTCCTTCTTTTCACCATTCAGCAAAAATTTTTGCTTAATTTCTCCTTGTTTTGAAATATAGTTTGATTGGCAAATAATTAAAAGCAAAACTTAACTTTAGAAAGTCATAACCCAATAACTCAAAACAACACATTTGTAACTATTTATTTGCCTGGAGATAACTACAAATGCCTAAAAGTTTGCCTCCATTCAGAGAGTTCTACATTAGAAAAGTCTTAATTTTCTAAACAGACAAGTGATAAGATTATCATTTTCTGAAAATATCCTGAAATCAGTCTGTTGTTTTACAGGTGTTTGTAATTGTTGACCAGATAAACCTTGTGTGAATCCCTAAAAACCCACTGCCAGTACTGAAAATCAATCCACAGGCCACATGGAAATGGTATCACATTATAATTATTTTTTGTATTTTTATGCATTTATTTTTTATTTATTAATATTCTTTGAGATAGAGTCTCACTTTGTTGCCCAGGCTGGAGTGCAGTGGCATGATCATGGCTCATTCCAATCTCTATCTCCCGGGCTCAAGCAAATTTCCCACCTTAGCCTGTGAAGTAGCTGGTATGACAAGTGCATGCCACCACATCCAGCTAATTCAAAAACACTTTTTTTTTTTTAGAGATGGGGTCTTGCTATGTTGCCCTGGCTGGTTTCAAACTCCTGGGCCCAAGCAATTCTCCCTCCTCAGCCTCCCAAAGCACCGGGATTACAGGTATGAGCCACTGCACCTGGCCCTATAATTAATAAAGGGTTGACATAAACTTTCTAGTTCATTTAAAGTTTTTTATCTCTAAATCACTGTCATCACATAATTTGTGAGTCCGTAAATCTGGGTGAGATAGTGGAAAAACTCTGGGCTTGAAATCAGAAAGCTGTAAACCTACTTTACAAGGTTATTGCAAAGATTAAGTGGGGGTAATAATTTTGTTAAAAATAATCTCTCATCTGTTAAACACATACCTCACATTGTAGATGGAGCTAACTGTGTTACATTATTGTCAATTAATGCTTTAAAAAAAGACTATGGGTCAGGCATGGTGGCTCATACCTGTAATCCCAGCACTTTGGGAGGCCGAAGTGGGTGGATCTCTGAGCTCAGGAGTTTGAGACCAGCCTGGGCAACATGGAGAAACCCCATCTCTACCAAAAATGCAAAAAATTAACAGGGCATAGTGGGGCACACCTGTGGTCCCAGCTACTTGGGAGGCTGAGGTGGGAGGATTGCTTGAGTGTGGGAGGTGGAGGTTTCAGTGAGCCAAGATCACACCACTGTATTCCAACCTGGGTGACAGAGTGAGACTCTGCCTCAAAAACAACAACAACAACAAAAACTTATGAAATATGTATTATTACCCTACTATACAGATGAAGGAATTGAGGCTCTTGGAGATTGACAATCTGGCCCAAGATTGTACATCCCATCAAGCTGCAGGGCTAAGATGCATGAAAAAGGGCTCTAGCTAGGATGTATGTAGCTGTAACTTGCTATAAAAATTAAGATGTCTTATTACAAAATATCTCTGAAATGACAGTTCCTATTAATATTCCTATATGTTCCTCCTTCCTATGTATCCATATCAGACATCCTTATCATCCTTATCAGATATTGTAAATCAAACCAAATTAGAGGCAGGGAGGAGCCTAATCTCAGCCATCAGACCATCATGTGTGCAAATTGCTTCTCTGCCCCCTTGTTTTTGTTTTCCCAGTTTCTTTTCTTTTTCTTCTTTCTCCCTTCCTTCCTTCCTTCCTTCCTTCCTTCCTTCCTTCCTTCCTTCCTTCCTTTCTTTCTTTTTTTTTTTTTTTTGACAGGGTCTTGCTCTGTCTCCCAGTGTGCAGCAGCGTGATCTTGGCTCACTGCAATCTCTGCCTGCCATGTGATTCTTATGTCTCAGTCTCCTAAGTAGCTTGGATTATAGGTCTACACACCACTCCTGGCTACGCCATGTTGCCCAGGCTGGTCTTGACCTCCTGGGCTCTAGTGATCTGCCCACCTTGGCCTCCCAAAGTGCTGGGATTACAGGTGTGAGCCATCACACCCGGCCCCCAGTTTCCATATTAGTAACTCCCATGTAGACCACAAGGATGCACCATTTAGAAAACTTGCAATGGTCCACTTTTCAAATCACCCAAATATGTTAAAGAAATTGGTATGACTGTTGACTCACAACAGGAGGCAGGGGCATGGGGTGGGGTGTAAGATTAATGTCGTGACAAATGTGGAAAAGAAACTTCTCCTGTTTTTCCAATTCCATCTCTGCTACCATATTATTACACTCTTCTGGTAGTGTGGTGTTTATGTGTGAATTTTTTTCTTGTATATACAGTAATTGTAGGATATAAACCTGATTCCAGTTGCAAACTTCACTATGAGCTTAGCTTTTAAGTTGCTTAAGAATAGTTGGATCTATGCAAATAATGATAATTATTATTATCTGAAGAGAGTGGCTCATTTTGTCACCCAGGCTGGAGTGCAGTGGTGTGATTAAGGATCACTGCAACCTCCACCTCCCAGGCTCAAATAAACCTCCCACCTCAGCCTCCCAAGTAGCTGGGAATACAGGCACGGCCCACCATGCCTGGCTAATTTTTTGTATTTTTTGTAGAGATGGGATTTCATCATGTTGCCCAGGCTGGTCTTGAATTCCTGGGCTCAAGCAATCCTCCCACCTTGGCCTCCCAAAATGCTGGCATCACAGGCATGATGGCATCACTGGCATCACATGCCATGCCTGGCCTGATCTATGCAAATTTTCAAAATAATCAATTTTTATTTGTTGCTTTATTGGTGGTACAATCTCCAGTGGAAAAATCTAAGGGTTTTGGTGTTATTTGCTTACTCAACCAATATTTATTAGACTCTTACTAAGCACCAAGCATGGTCACATGCCTGAGCTGTGGCTAGCACAGTGTATAAGACAAACTTAATCTCTGTTTTCGTGGAGCGTGTAATCTAGTAGATGAAGCCTATGTTGAGCAACATCACAATACTAACAAATTGAGGATGCTATGAGAGTGTCTAACAAATTGAGTGTAACAAATTGAGGATGCTATGACAGTGTGCCATGGGGACCTCAGCCACCTGGAGATTGAGAGAAAGCTTCCTTGAGGGAAGGTACATTTCACCTGAGACACACTGCCGTCTGCTCTAGGTTTTGTAACTGCATTCACATCCTGATTCTGACACTTCATCCTGTTATTGTCTCAGAGCTTGGGTCCACAGGTGTAAAACAAGGACAGTATGCACCTTAGCAGAGTTGTGAGAAGGGGAGAGAACACAAGTAAAGCACCTGTATCAGGCATACAGTAGGCACTAAGCATGCAATGCTTGCTATGATTATACATCATTGTAAGCGTCAAGGGAAAGTTGAAGAAAAGTCTGACCAACAGCGAAAGATAAATGTGCAGAGGAGAAATTTGTCAAAGGTTTCAAATTCAGGGGCAGTCCGTACTCCACATTTTGTTTGGGGGCTTCAGGTCCTGAGTTCCAGATATTGGAGCAATTAACACTTAAAGATTGCTAAATATTGTCTTCATGAGAAGTTGATAAGGAATTTTGGGTGGTTGATCTCTTTCTAGCAGCAGTTTAGCGTATGCTGAGGCCAGATTTTTTCAAGCAAAAGTAAAATACCTAAGAAACTGCCTGGCCAGAGGACAATCAGATTTTGGCTGGCTCAAGTGACAAGCGTTTATAAGCTAGATGGGAGAGGAAGGGATGAATACTCCATTGGAGGTTTTACTCGAGGGTCAGAGGGAGACCCGGCGCCACCAGAATGGGACCTGGAAGTGGGAAACGCTGGGTTCCCACGAGAGCGCGCAGAACACGTGCGTCAGGAAGCCTGCTCGGGAATGCCCAGCGCTGCTCCCCGGGCGCTCCTCCCCAGGCCTCCTGGGCGCTTGGATCCCAGCCATCTCCTCACCCTTCAAGTGGGTGTGGGTGATTTCGTAAGTGAACGTGACCGCCACCGAGGGGAAAACGAGCAAGGAAGTAGGAGACAGCCGGGCAGGCGGGGCGGGGTTGGATTGGGAACAGTGGGAGGGATGCAGAAGAGGAGTGGGAGGGATGGAGGGTGCAGTGGGAGGGGTGAGTAGGCGTAACGGGGCGGAGGAAAGGAGAAAAGGGCGCTGGGGCGCCGCAGGAGGAAGTGCTCCAGTGCTCGACTCTCCGCTGCGCGGCCGCTGGCGGAGGGGAGCTGCCAGGTGAGCCTAAGATGCTGCTGCGCTCGAAGCCTGCGCTGCTGCTGCTGCTCTTGGGGCCGCTGGCTCCCCTCTCCCCGGGCGTCCTGGCCGGACCTGCGCAAGCACAGGACGTCGTGGACCTGGACTTCTTCACTCAGCAGCCGCTGCACCTGGTGAGCCCCTCGTTCCTATCGGTCACCATCGACGCCAACCTGGCCACGGACCCGCGGTTCCTCATCTTCCTGGGGTAAGCGCCAGCCTCCTGGTCCTGTACCCTCTCCTTTCGTCCTGACACCTATGTCTGCCCCGCCAGCCACTCTCTTTTTGCGCGGAAACAACTTCACACCGGAACCTCCCCGCCTGCCTCTCCTCACCTCACTTCCCGCCTCTCATTCTCCCTCTCCCTCCCTTACTCTCTGACCCCAAACCTCTTTTTGGGGGGTATCATTTAAAAAATAGATTTAGGGGTTACAAGTGCAGTTCTGTTCCATGGGTATATTGCATTGTGGTGACATCTGGGCTCTTAGTGTAACTGTCACCTGAATGGTGTACGTTGTATCTAATAGGCAATTTCTCATCCCTCATCCCTCTCCCACCCTCCCCACCTTTTGGAGTCTCCAGTGTCTACTATTCCACTAAGTCCGTGTGTACACATTTTTCGCGCCCACTCTAAATGAGCCTTTTTGTTTCATTCATTCTGTAAGTATTGAGTAAGCACCACCTAAGGTCAGGTATAAGTGGAAATTTGAAAAAAGAAACTGCCCACTTGCCCCAGTACTTCCCTCGCCAGGAGGAGGGAAACCGGGCAGGTGCACCTGGAGGCCTGTGAATGTTTGAATTGCTGTGCAGTGTAGGACAAGTAAGATTGTGCATAGGCTTCTGTCTTTTAAACTCTGTTAGGAGATTTCTTTTTCTTTTCTTTTCTTTTCTTTTTCTTTTTCTTTCTTTCTTTTTTTTTTTTCAGCTGCAAAGGGCATCTAGAACAAGAATAAAAATCTAAATATTCAATAAATGAGACCTAGGAGACTACTTCAGTGACTTACAAAGTCCTAATAAAAAGATGTCTCTCCAAAATGGGGCTGCGAAATGTGGTGCTGCCTTATCAACTCCAAGTTTTGTTCTTGCCTGAGAAAGAAGGAACCTGATGCAGGTTCAAGCCTTCTGCCCTATAGCTGTTAGGGAATATGGGTAAGTTTAGAACTCAATTTAGAATCCAATCCTTAGCTAGGTGCGGTGCCTGTAATGCCAGCACTTTGGGAGGCTGAGACAAGAGGATTGCTTGAGTCCAGGAGATCAAGACCAGCCTAGGCAACGTGGCGAAGCCCCATCTCTACAAAAAATTTAAAAATCAGCCAGATGTGGTGGTGTGTGCCTGAAGTCCTAGCTACTCAAGAGGCTGACACAGGAGAATCGCTTGAGCCCAGCCGGTCAAAGCTGCAGTGAGCTGAGAGTGAGACTGTGTCTCACAAAAATCATCCATTCCTTGAGGATGTGGTCAAAGGTCATCATAGTCCATTTTCCCTCCAAACATTTCTTGGACTACAACCCTCCTCATTTCTGCATAATCCTGATATCGTCTATATTTTTGCCTTTTTCATTATATTTTATAATTTCATATGACTGGGAGACTAAGATCCATGACTCCAAGATAGGGAGCTACAGGGACAATCCCAGGTCTTCTGGTCTCTTATTTAGGCCCTGGGAGCCTCCAGAGTTGGCCACATCTTGACCAGCCCAGATGGAGGGAAAGGTCACCACTATCTCACCTCTGTGTTAAATACCTAGGTGCTGTCCTCCCTGAGCCCACACGATAGTTGCCAGTGCTAATTTAATGGGTAGTGTACTGGTTAAGAGATGGACAGACCGTCCTGGCTTGACTCTCAGCTCTGGCAAAGATGAGTGGCTTGGTTTTTCCATGTCTCTTGGCCACACCAACCTTGATTTCTTCCACCGTAAAATGGAATTTCTCAAGCTTGCCTCAAGGATTATTGCCCGAAGATTTGATGATATGGTAAGAGCTTCACAGTGTTTGGCCCATAGTAAGTGTTTGACATTCAAACGAATTGTTTCTTCCTAGGACATGGTGAGCATTTGGTAGCCATTCACCAGTTTTCTGTTTTCTTTGAATCATAGTTAACCTCTCCTTTCCCTTGTGGCACTAGAATTTTCTGGTGGGGAAGAATCCTCACTTTTTGCCCTTCCTTTTAAGGATAGGAAGCTGATACTAGGCAGCAACTAGTTGGGGGATAGGAAGATTACTCCAGAGAAATACTGAACCACAGGGCTCCAGATCTCAGGACCCCAGTCTTAGCTTGCTGGAGTGTGGGGTGGCGGTGGCGGGGGGGGCGGGGGGCAGGGGGGTTACTGAAAATGGGTGTGAAGTAGATGTCCATTTACTGAAATATGAGGACCCAAGGCCTCTTCTACTGCTGTAGCCAGCATATTCCCCAACCTCTCCCCAAGAAAGGGCAGACGTGGGTTCACCTCTGGAGTAACAGGTCCAAAAGCAAAAACATATACAGAATGACTTCCAGGGTCTGGGCCTGATCACCCAGCAGTCAAGCTCCCCGCAATCGACTGACACCCCTCTAACACGTAGAACTTCCAATCTGCAACTTAGTGAGGATGATACCTTTATTCTTCTTAAATATATCTCTTCATTTCCGAGAGCACCCTTTCCCCCCCTCCTCTGCACCTTTTTGTTAAAGACTGGAGTATAATGAAATACTAAGAGAGCATAACGTGTGATACATAAAACTTTCTTTCTGGTTTACAAAACAGTTTATTCGTGTCCATAAGTGCTTCTCTCCAAGGCTGGCTGCTGTCTAAAAGAGGCAGGAACCCCCTCTCCTCATCTAAGACCTAGCTTCTAAATCGGAGTGTGAGGGTCCATCTCCCCAGGAGGGGCACAGGGCCCAATCAGCCCAGCCATCTCAGAAGACAACACTCAGCTTTGTAGAGGAGAGTAAGACGCCTGTTGTTTAATTTATTACAGTTCCTCAAAAGTGAAGATGTGAGGGCGGGATGGCAAGAGCTGAGCAGATGAAAGCTGAAGGAATAAGGAAAGAGAGGAGGACACAAACAGCTGACACTTTCTCAGTTCTTGTCATTTGCCTGACCCTATTCTAAGCACCTTCTAGGTAGTAATCCGTTTGGTCTTGGCTACAACACTATGAGGTGACTACTTTTATCATCCCCATTTTAAAAATGAAGAAATTGAGGCTCAGGGAGATTAACGAACTTGGCCGCTGTTTGAAACTAGACTCTGATCACATGAGATAATAGTGTCCATAAAAAGGGAAAGCAGATTATATTTTTTAAAGGAAAGAGAGTAGATATTATGGTAGAAAAAGATTGTTTGGAAAGGAATTGAGAGATTGATATAATGAAAAGAAGCATTCACATGAGAGTAACAGTTTCAGGGCCCAAACCTTCATCTAAGGTACTTCAAAGAGGCCTAAGCAAACTTAGTCATATAGTGTGGTTCTAGCCTCCATGAAGGCAAATACATGGTGTACAGCCCAACTGCACACAAAACTTAAATACCAATGACAGAGCAATCTAAAATTAAAAAAATAGATCTTTCGATTTGTCATCTTCCCAGAGGGACTTAATCAAGAAACCAATCAAAATACTTCCTAAGCCCAACTGTATGCAGAACTCCAGAGAGAGCCTGGCCCTGAATCAACACTGTCCAATGGAAATATAATATAATGTGGGCCTCATATGCAAGGTCATATGTAATTTTAAATTTTCTAGTAGCCATATTAAAAAGGTAAAAGGAAACAAGTGAAATTAATTTAATAATTTTATTTAGTTCAATATATCCAAAATGTTTTCTCAGCATATAATCAATATAAAAATATTAATGAGATATTTATTATTCCTTTCCTCAAACCAATTCTCTATAATCTGGCATGTATTACTTATAGCACTTCTCAGACTATATTTCTTTTTTTTTTTTCCAAGACAGTTTTGCTCTTGTCACCCAAGCTGGAGTACAATGGCGTTACCTCGGCTCACTGCAACCTCTGCCTCCCAGGTTCAAGTTATTCTCCTGCCTCAGTCTCCCAAGTAGCTGGGACTAGAGGTGTGTGCCACCACGCCTGATTAATTGTGTATTTGTAGTAGAGACAAGGGTTCACCATGTTGGCCAGGCTAGTCTCAAACTCCTGACCTCAGGTGATCTGCCCACCTTGGCCTCCCAAAGTGTTGGGATTACAGGCATGAGCCACTGCACCCGGCCTCAGATTAACTACATTTCAAGCACTCAGTAGTCACATGGTAGTGGACATATGTGGTAGTGGACAGTACAGATCTGCATTTCAGTTAAGACACATATGCAAGCATAGTTCACTAATGCACGGTTAAAAAAAAAAGTATAGTGCTGAGTTAGTGGTAGAAATCCTAACTACTGCAGAGCAAAAGTGGTACGAACAGCAATCTCAGTGATAATGCAACCAACCATGTTTGCTTTTCATTGCAATTTGCTTATTTTCCTTCAGCAAAGTTTATCTCTTTTTGCCAATTCAATAAATATTTACTGATAAAAACTTTCAATATTAGATTCTTGCATCTTCGTAGACAGAGTTGCTTTTCCCATTTGGAAAATTACTTATCAATGTAAACACATGTTTTGATAACCAGTGTTGGAAAGAGGCGCAGACCCCCCATGTGCCTACTGATGGCAGAAATATCCATGGCCAAAGGGAAACAAAGGGCTGGGGGCAATCACACACCTCATGTCTCCTAACTCCTGGGAAGTGCTGTCCCTCTGATTGAGCTCTTATCATCCTTTCCCCACTAACCCTATCCACTGTGCCCTGGAGCCCTTTGCGGGGTAACCCTGCTCTGTCCTCCTCACAGAATATCTCCTGTACCTCCTTGTCCAAGCTACAGCTTGGTTCTTCTCTGAAGACACCGTCTTCCCTGTAGCCCTTTTGAGTAGCGGCTGCACATTCTCCCATAGTCCAGTTCTTTTCCCGTTCTCCAGTCCAGCTTCTGGATGACAGCCCACTAGTTTGAACTCCACACTGCTGTAGTTCAAATCTCTTTTGATTTGTTACCTTGGGCAAATTACCTCCTTTTGTTCAGATTCCTTGTTTGTAAAATGACGATAATAATGCCACTTGCTTCACTGGGTTATTTTGAAATTAAGTGAAAGAAGGCAGGTCAGTTCCCTACACACTCAGTACAGACTAGGCTGATGAGCATTACGGATGATGCCATGACGCAGTGTGTGGTTCC